GTGAAAGAAGAGAGAAGGCTTATCCTTATGGAAAAAATATTTAGGTTAAAAAACAGACATATATTTCTGATGCTGGGACTAGGATAATCATAAAAACCCATTAACTTCTTGTCATTGATCCCTTGTAAATAGGCCCAATGTCAGTGAACTTGTTACCCTCCGCCTGGAGTTTAAACCAGTCTCCGTTCTCTGTCACATGGGAGATTTTGGATGCGGAAATGGAGGATGGACGCCGGTCATGAAGATTGACGGCACCAAGGTAAGATTAGTGTTCGTTTAACTGGTCAATAGGCCTCAAAACCAGGAGAGAAGCCTGTTTATTGAGAAAAATACGCCGCTTTATTGTCCAATTGTGCTTCGTTGAGTACAAATAACGCCCAAAACGAGTACAAATATCTCGTGGCATTTGTACTCCAGAGAACCGGTTAGACAGATTTTCTCGCATCGTGAAAGCGACAAAATGGATTGGAGTTATACGAAAAAACATGGCGGGCAATTTAAATATTTTTGACGACGAAGAATCGGAGTAGCTGTCGAGTATTGATCAAGTTTATTAGATATATCGAACGAAGAAAAGCAGTTAGACGACAGTGAAATTTAATCATTTATTGAAGAAAATGGAAACGGTCCGCTTCGCATACTCCTGTCACGCACTCCTGGTAAATAAATATCCGCGAAATTCGCCCGCACTGAAATAAGAATTTGGCGTGTTGGATAGTAAGTCTCTTATTAAACGTTTTGTTCTGTAGTATCGCTGAGTATTTTTACTCGTTGTTGTTTATTGACACGCCCTAGCGGCACTACACCACAAAATGTTTGATAAGATATATGTACTGGTGAGGTACGCATTCAAGTGGTTTCCACCAATCAAGAAATGTTTGCCTGAATCGGGTTTGGAAATTGAATAAGTGCCAATTGTAAAATGCCGAAATCTTTCTTGATGAAATGGTCTTCCATGCCAGTGGCTCTGGATAAGTGCATGTGGTCAATATTTTAAATAGATCGGGTAGAGCTAATAGAAACAAAAGATTCCCTTCCAACTGCAACTGTGTTTGAATACCATGGATTTGATTTAAATCCGAAAATCGGCTAAACTGAGTGAAAGATCTCAAAACTTATTTTGTCTTAACAGAACACCTTTCATTACAACAAGACTTACTGGAGTAACAAAATTGAATACAACCTTCCTGGAGGGGAGTCTGGCTTTGATTCACAGGAAACAAAGTTACCGACCTACTGGAATACATCTTTCGCCATGATTTGCCTCGGTATGAAGATTGGACAACACGTCAGGTTCACTGTCATTAACACGCAGGCCGACTCTTTGTACTCACTGATCGCTGACGGTCAATACCGCGCCACATCATTAGGTCGAGAAACGTGGAAGGATCTGATTGGTTCAGATGCCTCCTTGCAGTTAAATTGTAATAAGGAAGGATTCAATACTGGTAATATTCACCGTTATAGCAAACACCATTCTAACGCAAGAATTGGCATCGTTGCTAACAAGGAGGATAACTGCAAAAGCTGTGACTCCAGGATTGGGTTTGGTACAGGGGGGTATCATGAAGACGCTGTGACGTGTGGTAACGTGGCAGAAATAGATGGAGATAATGGAGACAGGCGTACCCCAGCCATGGGGTACATACTGGTGCAATAATACCTGTACTCTCAAAAGGAAGCAGCTCAAACAGATAGATAATTTATTCAATAGAAACTCCTCATGGGGCTTTCTAGTCACTATTTACATGCGACTTAAATTAAGATATATTAAAATGAACTAACTGATTAGAAGAAACTGTATCTTAAGTAAGTATTTAAAAAACTTTGAGCGTGGAGCAGGCTCGTCTTCTAAGCTGATCTAGATGTTAACAATTCCGTAAGTAAATGCTCTTTGACCAGCAGCCGTGTTAAACTGTGGTATTTATAGGTTCCACTGTACTTACCGTTAGGGGTTCTGCCAAACAGAAATACATTTTCTTTAGTTATCTCATAGTATATGACTGTAGAGGTCATATGGAATGTATACTCTGAAGCCCTCGTGTAATGCTAAGCTGTTTGAAATATGATATTCTAGTTCTAAAACCTCCGCAGCGGAAGAAACAAATGTCTAACCGTGCCTGCAGTGTTCTACACCGAAGCTTGACATGCGAACACGCGCGCTTCATCATTTTCTACTTGAATTTCCTAATGCATATGAATGGTGTTTTAAAAGTTACGCTCACAATCGCGCGTGCATATTACCTTCTCCGTTTCCCTAGCTAGTTTGAGTCCGCAATGCAGTTGACCGCCATGCTCGAAGTAGCACCTTGTACGGGCATACCCTAACAAAGATTGGTTTCGACCAAATTTTTTCGGCTTGAGGGGTAGACTATGAGGATCTCCTCTTTTTTGGCGAAGTCCGTGGCGGGAGTCAAAAAATAAAAGCAGTGGAAAAAAATTGCTGTAAGCGCGCCATGGGGAACTCCTGAAGTGACGCCGATGCACCACAAGAGCTCCACGAGTGGGGCGCTCGAAAAGTAGGGACTGCGAACTCAGCCCGAGAATTTGACCTTGCACGGCTAAGTGGTTTTAAGGTGTCAAATTTTAACTCCAATTAGGCGTAGCCAATGACGATCGTTTTCTTAATAACCAGTCAGTCTTCTTGTCATCGCAACACACGGGTGTTCATAGAAAATTAAACCATTTCTAATTAAACTGGAAATCTGAAAAAGGTTGACTCTCACAGACAGATTCCCAAGAAGATAATAAGGTTGGGCAGGCCGGTCAAGGAACCATCTCGAGACGACTTTAGCTGTGTATGTGCTTTAAATTTTTCTTCAGAGATAGCATTCAAGCAGTCTTTTCTGATAACTGAACTGCTTGAACGCCAATTTTGCTGAGTTTGCCGACTTGTTCCATCGCGATGCTGTTAAGCGGTGAAATTACAAGGACACGCGCTATAGAGATTTTAGTGAAACAAAACACTTTTCCGAAGTCGGTTAGCAAAATTGATAGAACTTCTTTGCCAGCAGTAAGAGCTTCCGGCACCTCAGACTGCTTTAATTTCAGTCTACAAACTGTAATACATTCCGTAAAAGTTAGGCCGTTTCTTTTTCCTTTCACTATAGTTAAATATGATTTGATATATTCTGCATGTGTAGAAGTAATCGTTTTCAAGGACAAACGCAAGCACTGTTTTTTAGCATGTAATTTGAGACCGGTTTTCGAGAAGATCAAATTCGTTGTACTTCATAGTTTGAAGCCTTTCAAAGCTTTGTATGGCGACTTTAATCCTTCTTCAACAGTTCTAACCAAACGTGCTTGAACGCGCTCCAACGGTAAAAATGTTTTATGCATTTCAGTTAAGGTGGCTCGTACCGGTTTTCATCCTTTTGATGGTTTGTAACTTTGAAAGAATACAACAGAAAGACTGACCAAGGCCAGTTGAACACTTTTACGGGTTGAATTATATAGTCATTAGTTATCCAAAAATAGGTGTCATTTCGTCCCTAGCAGTTTCCATGGCAACGCTTTCATAGGCTTATTCAGACACATTTTTTAGCTGGTGGCTTAAAATATTCGAAAACTAACCCGGTGACCCCATGATTTTTTTCAGTGATTGCTTTTGGCACTTGAAAAAGAAAATGCACAGATTTTTAAAAAATTCTATGGAGCGAAATTTCAGAAAATCTAGAATAAAGGCAATTTTCAGACATCGCAAATTTCCTTCCGTAGAATTTTCTATTTTTTTTTCTGATGATTCCTTTCGACGTTATTATCATATTGGAACAATAAAAAGAAGGGGTCACCGGACTTGTTTGCATGCAATAGCTTTCGTGAGTTTAGCAATTTCCACGCGCGTTCTCGCGCGTTTAGAAATCTGGATTCTAAAAGATCGACATTTGCTCATGATCTGTTATAGCTACCGCTAGCAATTGCGCGTGCTCGCGCGCGCGCTTACGATCTCATGTTTACAGACGTTTACTGCTAAGAAAATCATTAAACAGCTGTCGAAGACAGCCTCCCGCGCTCATCTTAAAAATCCTGCACATGACTTCTGGCTATATCATATTATTTTCCTTTAAGTTTCAAAGTCTTCTTTCACTTCAGATAGATTATCCTTCACTTAAGTTCTTCTTTTTTCGCCGTCGCAAGATTTCATATCGGCTGAATATTTCTTTTAACTGTGAAGTGATGCAACCTTTACTTCTCCGAAAATTGTCTTCTTTATCTTAGTTTCTATCTCCTGCATTCACAGTGGCCGCTCAACACATCAAATACAAGCTCTTAGGTAAACTTCTCACATAAGTAGAAAAAAATCCTCGCGCTGCCATCTTTGTTTTAAATTTTCGTCTTTTAATCTCGCGCTTCTTTCGCACGTTTCTCTCGCGCGTGACGTAAGAGTTGTCTGTTCCCCGCGCGAAGAAACTAGTACGAGCCACCTTAAGTGATAGTGATAGAGCGAAAAGGCCTATTGTTGCGTTAAGTGTGTTGCGTTAAATAGCGTTACCACTGCAAGGACATTTGTTATATGCACTCAATCATGTCGTAAATCTACCTTCCTAAGTGAAGGAAAACTAACTAGTCGGAAGTGTTGTGTGGTAAATCTTAAATTAGAGCAATGAAAAGAGTCACTTGATCCACTAAAACCTCTATCTTACGTGAGGCGACACGCCGGAAAGCTGGAGAAAAGGTAGTCGATCGTTGAAAGGCGTTGATAAGCCTGTGCGTCCCCTACCATTCGCTAGCGTTTTTAAATCTTCTACCTTCAAAGTTTAACTCTTATTAGGATATCTCCTCAGGACTTTCCTTTGCGATGTGATAATAAGGCTCAGTTTTGAGGTGTCATTTCCCCATCTGAATGTTCTTCAGGTTTGGCAAAGCCGGATGAGATTGTGTTACAAAAGCAATATTTTTTTCTGTGCGCGCGTTATTTTCTATATTTTGTTCTCTTCTGCAGAAATAACTCCAGAGAGACGTTCCTCAAAACCCTCATCTAGGTTTCTTCTATTCTCGAAGGGTATTTTGAAACTCTACGGTTTTGCTAAACGGTGGAGCGAGACAAATTCGTTCATAGGAGGCGTGGGGCTTATCCTTTTACAAATCCCATATTTACGCTCGGTGGAAAAAGTTCGTGTATTGCAAGGTGTCTGTCTCTTTAATAGGCGTTTGGATGTCAAGGGTCAATTCCCTCTTCAATAACTCGCGTCTAGGAATAGAATTTCTGACTTTGAAATTACATATTCATCCCGCCATCGATTGTGAAGGTAACTTTTGACATTTGTGTCGAGATTCTTAGACAGATTGCAGTTTCGAATCTTTCTTAATAACGTCAGTTGCCTCCTAAGAACGAATTCGTCACGGAGGAATGACGGGAGTCGCGCAGGCCCGTCAAACTTTTGAACTATCGAAGAAACGGCAACAGACAGTGAATCCCCACGCTATCTCGCTTCCACCAAAGAAGTTCACTCCAACGCGTCAAGATGCGAATGACTCAATTTTTATTTTACGACCATGATGCAACGCAATGAGAGTGCGCACACCGCCTGCTTGGGCTTAATCCATAGTCTCTACTTTTCGAGCGCCTCAGTCATGGAGCTCCTGCGGCGCATCGGCGTCATATCAACTCTTTTTTCATTGATATTTTTTTGACTCGAGCGACGGACTTTGCCGGTTACTACCATTTTCTATGAGTATGGGGCTACGCTGGGCGCGCCTCACGCCCTGCAAGCCCCGCTATAATACATTCGATTTTGAGTTGTGTTGTAATGTGAGCAATCTGAGCAATGAGAAAAATTTCTGAAGGACGCTGACTGAATCGAAATTGAGTATATGTCTTCCTTCGCTCGAAGTTGTCCGACCTCGTGTGCCACACTACTTCTCCTATATATAATTCCTGGCGCATTAGACTAGTTAGATCATGCAAATTATATTGTATATAAGCAATGGTAAAGTTTATTCTCATTAAATCCCCTGATGAGTGGGCGACCACGAAACAGGCGTGTAGGGATGAACTTGTAGTTTACTTGTCTTTTTCCTTCCACAATATATACTTCGCTCTACTTCTATGTATTGAGCACTGTTCTACGAAAATCAAGTCACACTTTATACCCGCTCCAAGTTCAGGCTTGTCAAGCACTCTACGATAATTCACGATGGAAAAATTCAACATCAGCTACTCAGTCAAGAATATTCCTTTACCATCACGCAGCGACTATCTTCAACGCCTCATCGAAAAGACCCAAAAAAGAATAAACTATAATTAATGCGGAGAATTTTTTCAAATTGGGCGGGCATCAAAGGTCCCAGTCTCAGCGTTAATTGAGAATTTTAGTACAATTCTCGCCTGTCAAGTCAACGCTGGTTCCTTTACATTTTCAGTGGATTCGACAATTTTTCTATTTCTTTTTATAGTGATAATTTTTCGCGTAGTAATTACTTTGTTTGTTTATATGTGTCATCACGCCCTACATAAATCTATTTAAGGAATTTTTAAGTCATTGTATTACAGCTGATGAAGGTCTCGGACCGAAACGTTTTTTATTAAACGTTTTAGACTTTTTATTGAGTATATGTCTTCCTTCGCTCGAAGTTGTCCGTCCTCGTGTGCCACACTACTTCTCCTACCATTTATCGAGGTTTGGACTTTGAATCCTTTTGGATCCTTCTGGCGCGGCGTTACTATGGGCTCGAGGCCTTTTAACTTATCATATATATATTTTTTTTTTTTACGAGTTGTGCCATTTTTTGACGAGCCCGTAGGGCTGGTCAAATACAAGTAACGAGTAAAAATACTCAGAGATACTATACAACAAAACGTCTAATAAGTTATTTATTATCCAATACGCCAAATTGTTATTTGTTATTAGTGTGAGCGAATTTTGCGGATATTTATATACGAGGAGTGCTTGACAGAAGTATGCGTGTAGTCCTGAGAAGGACTGTTGTCGGTGGTAGTGACTGACGTTTCGACAACCTGTGCGGAAGTCATCATCAGAGTCAAGTGAATAGTTGTTGTCAGTAGAATGTTCTTATTTCAGTGCGTGTAAAATGATTGGTCAGTTTTGCCGTGATGTTATTTGCTGTAAGACTCAAGTGGCATAAGTCGGTCGTGATTGGTCTGTTTCGATTCGTCTTTAGTTTCTAAATTCTCGTCTTTAGTTTCCAATTCTTCGCTTGCGCGATGCGAGAAAACCTGTCTAACCGGTTCTCGGGAGTACAAATACTGCGTAATATTTGTACTCGTTTAGGGCGTTATTTGTACTCTACGGAGTGTAGTTGGATAATTGTTATTATTATAATTATTATTATTATTATTTGTACTCTAGAGTACCGGTTAAACGGGTTTTCTCACATCGCGAAAGCGAAGAATTAGATTGTAGTCACGAAAAAAGAAAATGGCGTACAATTTGAATCAGATTTCCGACGACGAAGGGTCAGAATAGTTGGCAAGTATAGATCAAAGTTTATCAGATGAATTGAACGAAAAAAAAAACAGCTAGACAGCGCGGAAATTTCTTCCTTTATCGAAGAAAATAGAAACAGCAACACGACAACGCGCCAACTCCGTTCCGACTCGCATACTTCTGTCACGCACTTCCCGTAAATTAATATATCCGCGAAATTCGCCCGCACTGAAATAACAGTTTGACGTGTTGGATAATAAATAACTTATAAGCCGTTTTGTTGTGTAGTATCACTGAGTATTTTTACTCGTCAAACTACGGCACAACTCGTAAAAATACTCAGCGATACCACACAACGAAACTTCTAATAAGATATATATATTTTCGTGCTATCTGACTCACTGCAAAAGCTGAGCTCTCAAAAATAACGCGAAATTTAAGAGGTGTAATGTTAAAGATAAAAAAATGGGTAAACATTGAATTCGTCTTTAGTTTCTCGTTTTTACTGCGCATGTAGCAGGATTGCAAGACTATAGTAAAGGAAATGCATTCGAATGATTTGGTCAACTACATGCAGAATGAGGGTTGAGAATGCGTTCACGTCATGTCCCAATTCCTCTCTTCATGTAGAATAAGACCGGAGACCCGAGGAGGAGACAGAGGACCGGAGACAGAGGAGAAGAGACAAAGACACCTCAAGCATCATGCGAAACACAAGATTTAACAACATTTCCTTGATCTAGTAATGAAGTTAATACATTTTGGTCAATAGATCACTGAAATCAAAAGGTCGCCTTCTTAGTAAATGATTTGTTACTCACTTGACGTTTATCACATAATAAAAACCCATAATAATTTTTTCCACTCTGTTTAATTCTTTAGTCTGTTTTATTAATTTTTGTCTACAGATCGGATGTTAGTTAACTGGTTACACTCCATCTAGACTCTGGACCAGTCTCCGTTCTCTGTCACATGGGAGATTTTGGATGCGGAAGTGGTGGATGGACATCAGTTATGAAGATAAACGGCAAACAGGTGAGATGAACATCAGCAAGGCACATTTTTGCGTTTAACTCCTTTCTTGTCTAATTTTTTCCTGCCAACTTGCATTGATGAGATAAATATGGCCAAGATGATCCCTAACTACTTAATAGCAAAAATCACTGCGTTAGTTGAAGACCATTCAGTCTTACATTGAATTTTGCCAAAGCACACAACTTTGAGCCAAAAAGAATGACAATAGCAAGTCCACATAACTAAATGAGTCCAAGAAATCAGTCTGCCTGAGAAAATTTTAAACGATCTACAGCACAACTTAAAAGATCGTACTCCTAGCTCTTAATTTTAACGAGCAGTACTTGTTGAGATCTGAGAAGGTCTTATTTGTGCAATTAAATCTTACATTTATTACAAAAGAGACCCATTTTTGTATGAGAACAACAACAATGATAACAATTATGACAAACCGTAAATTCATCGCCCACTTGAAGACGTTTTTTGAAAGATGTGATTGCCTTGCAATTTTACTGCTAAAGTTCAGAGACAGAGGCGCCTGTATTAAATATTAATTGGGGGAGAAGGTCGAACGGGGTAATCTTGAAAACTGGTGTCGTAGTTATAAGGGTGGGGTCATCCTTCTTAGAACATTTTCAGATCTAGAAGCTCATATAATTCAAGGGACTCGTTGGATTGTTGTATATTCCATGTCCTTAAGAAGTTGGTGGATTGAGGGAAGTGTGGGGCTGGTAGAAGCTTCCTTTGTTCTTTTTTCCTTATAAGAATCAACTGAGCATCAGCTTTTCTTTAAAAAAAAAACTGTCACGTAGAAGTATGAGGGACGAGAGTAGAATGTCTAAGTTGGTTATGTATCAGATGAAAAAGTATTTGTTCTTTTGCAGAGTACCTTTCATTACAAACGCCCTTACTGAAAAAATTGTGAAGAATACAACCTTGCTGGAGGGAAGACTGGGTTTGACGGACAAGAACCAAGTTACCGACATGGAACACATCTTTCTCCAAGATCTGTCTCGGTATGAAGATCGACCAAGAGCTCAGGTTCATTGTCGTTGAAAAGCAGGCCAGCTCTTTGTACTCGCTGATCGCTGATGGGATATATCGAGCCACCTTACCGGGTCGTGACAAGTGGAAGAAGCTGATCGGTTCACGGGCCTCTTTACAGCTTAACTGTAACATGGAAGGTTTCAATGTAAAAGCCTCCAACCTGGGTTACTCCAAGGCTAGAATTGGTATTGTAACCAACGACGAAAGTGATTGCGTCTCGTGCAACTCAAGGATCAGATTTGGCACAGGAGGGAGACCTGGCTACTCAAATACCTGCGGTATTGAGGCGAGTGTGAAAGGACCAGACAATGGTAAAAAAAAAAACATTGCCGCCATGGGATACCATCTGGTGCAATAAGAATAATCTGGTATTAACAACCTCGTAATTAGTTTCATCACACGGTTACAGATGATGTCACCGCATATCTCGGACGTGGGAATATGTCCCTAGACGTGGGGCCTGCTTATCGAGATTCCTGTTTCCTTGTAGCTAAGTTTCAGAATCTTTGGAATAGTTGTGAGGTCCTTTGTTCTAAAACCGATGTAGTCTGTTTTCTTTCCTGGTATTTCTTATTGTTTTAGTTTCAAACCCGTTTCAAAAATTCTCCACATTAATGTAAACACGACAATTAATTGCAAGAAGAGCGGGAATTTTCAGAAATGGGTCTCTGGACTTGTTTCAGTGTATTTTAGCTTAGATTTGCGGACGCAAACCTAGCGGCTTGTATAATTATGCCTTTTAGTATTATTGGATTTATTGTATTATATTTTAGTACTATCATGTTTTGTAAATAGCTCTGTAATTCAGCCATTTTGTATATTGCTGCAATGAGTCTTAATAAACAGTCTTTAAAAGNCAATAAGAATAATCTGGTATTAACAACCTCGTAATTAGTTTCATCACACGGTTACAGATGATGTCACCGCATATCTCGGACGTGGGAATATGTCCCTAGACGTGGGGCCTGCTTATCGAGATTCCTGTTTCCTTGTAGCTAAGTTTCAGAATCTTTGGAATAGTTGTGAGGTCCTTTGTTCTAAAACCGATGTAGTCTGTTTTCTTTCCTGGTATTTCTTATTGTTTTAGTTTCAAACCCGTTTCAAAAATTCTCCACATTAATGTAAACACGACAATTAATTGCAAGAAGAGCGGGAATTTTCAGAAATGGGTCTCTGGACTTGTTTCAGTGTATTTTAGCTTAGATTTGCGGACGCAAACCTAGCGGCTTGTATAATTATGCCTTTTAGTATTATTGGATTTATTGTATTATATTTTAGTACTATCATGTTTTGTAAATAGCTCTGTAATTCAGCCATTTTGTATATTGCTGCAATGAGTCTTAATAAACAGTCTTTATAATTGTTAACAAATAATGTTAACAAATTGTTAACAAATAATTGTTAACGAAATAATGGTTGTTAAGCAATGCAATTAGCTAGTAACCGTGTCTGGAAGATGTTTCTAAGATTATTACGAACATCACATGGTAAACAGCCAATAGGCGGATACTGAGGTGGTGTTGGGAGGTCTCTAGTCTCTTCGACTCCATTTTGATAGTCTGAGTACTCTCAGGACCCAGCCAAACCTAATTGGTTAGAGCTGTCAGTAGTAATGACTTGTACGCGAGTTCATCAAACGTTCTACAAAGTCTTAGTCTGTGTGTTAGGAACTGAAACAGATGATGATTTCCAAACAAATTGATATATGAAACAACGGAATTTAGATTAAACAAGACCGTTTTTCCGAGGTAAGCGTGAAAATCGCAAGAAATACAAGCGCGATATCGACCTACTTAATATTTCAATTAGCAAAGGGCGGCATTCATATGAAATTCATTATTACCATCTTGTTATATGCTTCAAATCTATTAACTTGATTTGAAAGTTAATTTTAGTTGTATTCGCGCATCTAAAGCGAGCTGAAAGGCAACTGTAGTTGTCAGCCTCGTTTCCATGTAGAAATATAGATTGCGAGACAAATTAGCCCACTAATAAACGTATACCACAATTCAACTTCACGAACTACCTCACCTTGGTCAGGAGATCTTTCTCAGACCTTTCCTGTCCGAGAACTTTTCTGTAGCGATGCTTGAACGAAACTCAAATGTTTTGGTATCTGCTCTCCCATTAATCATCACTAACACTTTAGTAATCAAGGCCTTCGTTCGCTGGTCGGACGAAACACCAAAAATGAACACCAAAACTAATATCGAGATCCTACGGAACGGCTCTAAACCTAAAGCTATCTCGAGATTCTTCCGAACGGTTTTCGAAAAACGCTCAACAGGTCGCATACCTTACGCGACAACAACAAACATTCATAAGTAATTGTCTTTGTTACAAGTTCTTGAATACATTCCGTACATTTTTTGCAATTTACCGAGCCATGGAATCGTCAAATTCTCGCTAGGCCCTGCTTGAAGCCCGAAAGTCCGGTTTCCGATTTACGCCCACAATTCGTATCGCTTTAGAGAATCGTACTGTCGTTGACTCGAGAGCTTATTCTGTCACCATTAAGACCTTGATATCCATTATTTTCCAAGGAAAGTATTCTATAGCATTGGTACTTTATATTCTGAGTTCCACAAGGTCTAACTCGATCGCAAAGGAACCAAAAATCCGACTTGAAAATTTTGAAGGTCGGCCGCGCGGACGCCATATTTTCAAATTTGATCATTTAGTATGAACGCAAGAATGATACCCCTCTATTACCCCCTAAAGCCATTAAAATATATGCGCAAACAACGGATTCTGATTGATTTATTGATCTCCAAACTATAGAGGAAGTTTGGGGACAAAATTCTGCTTAGTAGGGGAGGTAAGGGGGAAAGCGTTCTCGCACGAGCTAATCGCGCGGTTCGTTCGGTTAAGCAAAACGAAAATTGACTTTCGCGTACGGATTTGATCCAACCACTCCTTCGTAACAGGGAAAGTTACTATGATTATGGCAGTACCACAAGGCCAACTACGACACGACTCACTAGACAGCATAAGCATATATGCTTATTCTTATGTCCTAACGTCCCATCCAGCGCATAAGCTTTTAAATGTTTATCCCTATGCTTACATCGCAAGTAAATACCGAGCTTAATATTGTAACAATTTTTCGATAAACAAAACAGCACCCTTTTGAACTTTCTTTCCACAAACCGTTACAGTAAAATCTGGAACAGTGATTGTCTTACACTAACTCCTACTCCTGGTATGGAAATCAAACAACAATTAACAAATGGTAAACACCAC